TCCCTCCTTCCCTCCTTCCCTCCTTCCCTCCTTCCCTCCCTCCCTTCCTTCCTTCCTTCCTTCCTTCCTTCCTTCCTTCCTTCCTTCCTTCCTTTCTCCTTAAGTTCTGTGAATCAGACTGTCATTAGGGGCACAGGAACAGAGACAGGTATTTTTTAAGGATATACTCTTTAAAGTATACCCTGAAGGGGGATCCACCACATCTCTTTTTACAAGACTGGGCTGCCTTGATTCTCTGCGGAGGCGCTGTGTCTTTCTATTGGCCGGCAGGCAGGAATTCAGCAAGTGTGGTTGCTATGGAGATGTGCCGATAGGCAAGATGGTGCCCTTCTGAATTTCATGCTTTCTGGCATCTGTTAGAAACACGGGGCCTCCTGGGGCCGCAGAAGAGGCCTGCTCTGGCCTGCAGGCCCTGTTCCACCCTGCCCTCCAAGGTTCTCCCAATACCTGGAGAGGCTTTTCATTCTCTCTGGTAACCCACCGCCGCCACCAACTGACGTTTGTAGGGATTGCCCGCTGGGAGGGTCAGGACTCCCACCTTCCCTTCCAAGTTCTGAGGCCTGGCCTCTGTGTCTCCCGCTTCCCAGCGCCTGGTCACCATGGGAACCGTTTACTGCCTTGGGCACTTTTGCAGGAGTACCCTCTTGCCAAGTGCCGGCCTTCCCGGCGTTCCTTTTAAAATAGCGTGTCCAAGACGATGGAGGTCTGTGTGGTACAGAGAACCACTACCAGCATCCAAAGTTACAAAGCATTTATTAAAGAGAGAATGTTCACAAGCATACTTTAAGCACAACACCAGATTGAGCAAGGATTCAAAAGAAATGGGTAAAACTCAGTTCCTCTGACCCTCTCTCTATACATGCCCTATCAGATGTTAAAATATAGAATGGGCTCCTTAGCTTAGGATGTTGTAGAACTCTACAGGGTTTCCATTACCTTGCAGCTTCCTCCAGCTCTTCAGGCCAACACATGGTTAATAGCTGCCTCCTCCAGACCTCACTTAAGAATTCTGTCCGTTCTGATGAACTCAGCACAAAAGAGCGATCCTCTTTGCTGCAAGGAGTTTTTTTTAATCATATCTGTTTCTCCACCCATGAACCAGGTCAGTCTGGGTCAAGAAAGAAACTTTTCTTGAAGCCTCCAGAAGTTTCTTCCTGAAGTCCTTCTAGTATTTAACACCTCCAAATCTCTGTTCCCTGCTAGGAGGAGGGGGGAGAGAGGCTGGACAATCCTATTTTCTCTAGCTGGACCTATTAGCATTTCTTAAAGAGGTAGCTGATGTGAGGCTGGAAAGCCATTGAACTGACGTCCCCCTTCCTGCCTGTTCTCTGCCCAGAGAGAAAAACGTTTAAAGCCTCCTGGTAAAGGTTTTACTCAGGTCAGACCTCTGTCCCCCCAAAATGCATTTCTTCAAATGGGGTGAAAACTGTGGCAACTCGATTTACCAAATAAGGACTAATTCGATTTCTTTTGACTAAGGTTGCCCCCTTTTTCCTCTGGTCTTGCTCCTATGCAGGTAAAATCTTACATGATGGGGAAGATAGACATGTCTGAGTGCTGTTAAAGGCACAGAAGCCAGATAGGGAATGGGAGCAGGCAGGTGGCAACGTCAGTAGGTTTGGTGTCGCGGTTAAGAGCGTGGACTCTAATGTGGGAGAACTGGGTTTAATTCCCCACTCCTCCACATGCAGTCACAAGTTCTGTCGGAGCTGTTCTCTCAAGAGCAGCTCTTGGGAGAGCTCTCTCAGCCCTAACTACCTCACAGGGTGTCTGTTGCAGGGAGAGGAAGAGAAGGGGATTGTAAATTGCTCTGGGACTCCGAGTGAAGGGCGGGAGATAAATCCAAACTCTTCTCTTCTCCTTTATATGGGTGGTGGAGAAAGCATCTTCTCGTGTGTGAAACTGACTTCCTCTAACCGTGACAGGAAACGTCTGTCAGGTAGTTCCTGGAAGGATTACGTGTGTTGCGTTTTCTCACTTTTGTAACGGACTTCAAAGCTGTTGCAAGTCAGTGTGTCGTTCTTTTCCGGGAAGAGAAGCGCAGAAGATCACCGTAGATGAGATCGCACTTTGGTCTAGTTCCCCCCACCCACCCAGCCTAGCACTGAGTGGACTTACCTTGGTAAGCTTTCCATGCGTGCCCGGTCATGTCTAAATGGACACACAAAGCTGCCTTGTACTGGTTGGTCAAGCCCAGTATTGTCTACTCTGACTGGGAGTGGCCCTCCAGGGTCCTTTTAACTGGAGATGCCGGGGATTGAACCTGGGACCTTCTGCGTGCCAAGCAGATGCTCTTCCACTGAGCCATGGCCCCACTTCATGGCTCTCCAGGGTCTCAGGCTGAGGTCTTCCCAATCACCTCCTGCCTGGTCC